AAAATTTCCACGTGTCACATACCAATTCGTTTACTTTTCCACATAAGAGACGACTGGATGTACGCACTTAAAATGCGGTTTTGAAAATATAGAAAGTGTCAAAATGACACAATGAGGTTTGACCCGAGGTGCTTAAAATGAACAAAGTCTAGTTAAAGTGTCCAAGTGAAAGTTGGTGCCAAGTTTAGGGGGCCACCAATGGGTTAGCCCTATGATGTATATCACCTTTTTAATTATACACATTAACCTCAATTGAAAGAAACTTGAAAATTTCAACTTACTGAAGCTAATGATTATAATTAAACAAAATGACATATTTTAAATAGTTAACTTACTAAATTTTAATTTATGTGATATATATATTTTTTAAATTGTCCTATAAAAATGTTATGTATCCATAATTGAAAAGAATTTAATTCGATAGTGTCTAATAGAAAAACTTTATCGTGTCTATCTAAACTTTTCGAGAAGTTGAGCAAATGTCCAGGTCACTCCCATATATCATACTAAAATCTAACTATACCTTTTCTCATCCATAAACTATATAATATCTTGATAAGATGATAAGACACGTGGCACTAATCTCTCCCATCTCCAAAACTACAACACTCTCTCTTTCCCCAAATTTTCCCTTTCTCTCCAAAAAAAAACAAATCAATGGCTTCTCCAACCCTAATTACCCCATCCACATCAACCCCCAAATCCCTCATCACTCCAATCCGATCAAAACTCATCTCCTCCGTCACCACCACCACCACCGCCCTCCGCCGCCGCGAATTCCTCTCTCTGTCAGCCGGAATCCTCTCTCCATCCCTTCTCCTTCCCGCCACGTCAGCATTCGCGGCTACCGACGAGGAATACGTGAAGGAAGCGTCGGAAGTGATACAGAAGGTGAGATCTACGTTGAATATGGATAAAGGAGATCCGAACATAGCTGATTCAGTTGCTGAGTTAAGAGAAGCGTCGAATTACTGGGTTGCTAAGTACAGAAGAGAGAAGGCTTTGTTGGGTCGGGCTTCGTTTCGTGATATATATTCGGCACTGAATGCTGTTTCTGGCCATTATGTTAGTTTCGGGCCGACTACGCCCATTCCGGCGAAAAGAAAGGTCAGAATCTTGGAAGAAATGGATACGGCTGAGAAGGCTTTACAGAGAGGAAGATAAGAAACCCAATATTATTATTTTTTGGTATTATTTAAATTTTCCTATAATTATTTTCTGACTATGAAAATTTTATTTTTATGATAAAGATGAGGAAGTTGGATTTAAAATTTCATCACCTTCTTTAATTATAATTCAAAAACTCATTATCTGACTCGTTTGATTAGAGAATAAGTTATATCAGAATTAGTTATATATATCAAACTAGCATTACTGATCACTTTTTGATTTTGTAATTAAAGTAGTAATTGTTATAGAATTTTAAATTTTACAAATAAAATTTCATGATAATTAGTTAATGACTATGTGTGAATTTTATCCATGTAGCAACCTTTAGAACAACTACTTAAATTATAGCTAGACTTACGTATTATTTAGAGCCTGTTTGGATTGATTTAAAAAACAATCCAAATAAAAAGTCACAACTTAAATGACTTATTTTAAGTTATTTTTAACTTTGTCAAACACTTTTAAACTTATTATAAGTCATTCTTCTTTACTTATTTTAAGTTATTTTTATATTTGTCAAACACTTTCAGTAGTCAAAAACTAACTTAAAATTAGGTTTGACCAACTCTTAAATCAGTTCAAACAGCCTCTTAATATTTAGCTTCAAGCAATTAGAGAAGGAGGAATAAGGAGAATAGGAAAATTTCACATGAATTAGTAGTGATCAATTTAATGTATTTTTCTCATAATTTTGTGACTGAAGCTTACACGATCTAAGAACTTTAATTGGATTCAAAATGATAATTTTCGTCGATATGGAGATTAACAAGAATAATACATTGAAGAAAGTTAAAGCCCTTTAACTTGGCAATTAATTTGTATTATGCCACACAGTAAGCGTGTTTTTAATTATTCAATTTTATACAAATTTATCTGTCTAGTTATGAACTCTCACCTATTGAAACTTTGTAAGTTATTACAAACATAAGGCTCTTTTGCTATTTCTAGAAATTTTTCAAAAATTAATGATCTATGTAAATGCAAAGTGAAAAGAGATTATAAGAAGCCCAACCTATGAAGTGGTAACCCATTTTAGGCCCAATCCAGTTCTGGGAATGCTATTACCAGAAAGGCTCTATTGAATTCATTTTGGTATTCCAGCTAATGTTCGACTAAATTTGATTAAGAATGAAGGAGTACTTACAATCCCACCATTGGTGGTTTTATTGGATTCAGTCATTTTGTTTGCCAACTCAATAGGAATATGTTTTTCGTTTTCTTCTTTTCTTCGTATTATTATTATCTTATAATTATTTTGCTAGTATTACCTTATTCTTCATTTATTATTATTGTTATTATTGTTTTACTTTTACTAAGGTTAACTTTATCATTTTGTTATTACTTTTTCTTCGATATTTTTCATCATAGTTTTTTTTTTTTTTAAAAACCTATTCTAAAAAAATGATTTTTGTATAAGTTATAACGATGGTCTTTCAAAAACAATATATAGAAAGACCGCTCGCTCGCTTGAAGAAAACTCTTTTAGAGCCTGGTACCAGCCAAGCCCCCTCTCCTTACAGTCAAGTGGCTGAACGCCCCCTCGACTCGGCAACAAGAGTCGGTTAAGGAATAACCTTTTAATTGGCTTTTTCGTTCTTAAGGACTTTCTGGCCGGTAGGCTTTATAGCGGACCTGCCTTGCTGACAGCTAGGATATTACAATCTCCTTAGACTTCACTTATAAAACTACACTAAATATTTTGTTATTGTTGTCTTTGAAAAAAACAAGAAACTGATCAAAAGAATATATATATGTTGTAACTGCTGTGTCGTGGAATCTAATTCAGTGAAACTGGTCAGAAACACGTACTGTAGTGTGCATTCATCTATAATGATAAAGATTCCTAATTTGGCACTTGGAATATCAGTCAAGTGAAGGATTCTCATCTATTATATATAAAATAATAATAATTAAAAATATAATTAAAAATAAAATAAAAAATATATATAATAATAATAATTGCATTAAAAAAATTATAATTTTATATATACAATATAATTTTCTAACAAATGCATTCCGACCTCCTTTTCAACTCTGTTTCCGACCCACGCAACAAGCACATAACTCCTAGAGGGGTGGGGAATAGTGTGTGTTGAATTTTAGAATTGGTAATTTCTCCTTTGTGATGCACATTTTAAGCGGTCTATTGTCGGATTTTAAAAGATCCATTAGGAATTTTATTAGTTAGATCAAAGTCATTCAAGTTATATAGAGTGAAATGTCAAAAATATATATTTATATACTTCTTTGAGTTTCATAAACTAATGGGAGTCTGAATTTCATATCTAAATTAACTCATTAGTTTGCGAAACACACTTCAGTGATATGGTGTGTGTAATACAATCTCTTTTATTACTTTTAAAAAAAACTTATCATATGATGTTGAACGTTAATAAAATATTTCACCTTGACAAAACTTATATAAACTATTAGTTTTGGTTAAAAGTTAATGATTAAGGGGTCCCTTGGTAGGAAGTATTAGAAGAAATAGAGCATGTATTATGTATGGTATTATTTAGTAATATGTACCAAACGTCCCCTAAATATCACTATCCCCCAAAAAGATATTGGTTTTATTTTAAATAAAATTAAAATATTTTTTCTTACCCCATTCCACCGCCTCCGCTCTCAATTCTCAAAAAATGGGGGTGGGGGGAGGGGTACCGTGAGAGGAGATGGTAGAGTGGGGTAAGAAAAATATTTTAAAAATAATCATTTCTTTTTTGAGATAGTGATACTTTAATCTTTAACTTTTAATTAATACTAATAATTTATTTAATTTTTGGTAAAGTGAAATGTTTTGTCCATGTGGAGTGTTACGTGACAATTTTTTTAAATAAAAGAGAGAGTATAGTACACACTATCAAAAAATCTGTGTTTATCAAACTAATAAGTAATAGTTTAGATTTAAAACTCACATACTCAATAGTTAAGACATAAAATATATTTTTTTTTAAAAAGATAGTTTAGATATATTTTTGACTTCACTAATCAATTTTGATTACTACAAGCAATACCAATTTCTCCTTGTGTCTCAACTCTAATTTCTCTCTTCCTAACTACCTCTTTTCCTTCAATTTTGTCTTCCCCTTTTGCTATAAAATCTCCCTCTCTAATTCCCTTTTTGCTAACTTAATTCCAAACATCTATTATGGAACCCTTAATTCAAATAACAACGCTCAAACCCAATCCAACGTCCCAAAATTCAATCCACTTGACTCGGAACAATTTTGCACCAAAGCCTATCAAATGATGGACGTCATTGCTGATTACTACAACAATATTGAGACCTACTCGGTTCTAAGCCAAGTCAAATTTGGTTATCTCTATACTTAATTATCCGAAAATTCCCCTTATCGGCCCCTAAATCATTCAAAGCCATTATGAAAATGTCCAGAACCATATCGTCCCTGGTATGACCCATTGGTTGAGCCCCAATTTCTTCGCATTTTTCCTGCTACCGTTAGCTCCGCTGCGTTCCTAAGTGAAATGCTTTGCAATTGTAACCTCTAGTACGTGTTTGTGCTTCCTTTCAGCCAATCAATTCTTCTGAGGAGTATATGGACATGATTTCTGATTAACAACTCCCATTTTCTTCAACTCTTTGACATCAGCACTTTCAATACTACTAGAAGGAAAAATGAGTCTTATCTGTTTGGCATATGGACAAACTAAATACTTAAGACACTTTACAAAGACTTTGAGTACTCATATCAAAGATTCTAGCAAACACTTCAGAGGACACATGTCCTAATCTTTGATGTCATAACTCCATATCTGAGGATACTTAAGCAATTGCCAATGCTAGACTTTTGAGTATATAAACATTCCTATTCTTCACCAACTTCCTTCACCTTCTCACTGTAAAACTCCTGAAAAATACAAAAATTAAGAAAGAAGGTGACTGAGCAACCTAGTTCCTTTGTTAGTTGGTTTACAGATTACAAATTATACTTGAATTTTGGTAGGTAAAAGATATTGCAAAATGACACTCATATATGATAAAGCCCAAGAGCCAATATGAGTAGTGTCTCCATGCATTAGGTAAATATACACTCTTAGGAACTTCTAGTCTAGATACAGACCCTTTGATAAACATACCCAATTGAGAGACCATGTGATTAGTTGTTTCAATGTCTACAATCCACACCCTACTATTTTCATAAACAAAAGACATTTTACTTGTAGTGTGAGCAAGATAGCAGTCAGATAAGATGGAAGCCTTTGAGAATATGATCATATCGTTCTTTTGTAAAAGGGCAGCCCTGAAGCAGCTAGCTGACATCCAGTTCTACTGCTCTAGAGGTTTTGGAACTTTCTCTCACTTCATTAGCAGTTTGTGAAGTATCAAGCTTCATTCCCCATCCTGGTACATGAACATTAATGTTCATACCGTACAAAAAATTAGCCTGATCTAATTGATAGTGACTAGATAGGGTGATGTCCGAGGAAGCCCCTTGCACCTTCATTTTAGATTTAAAATCTGATGGATAACCTACAATCCTGTAACATAATTCTTTGTTATGGCCTTCACACGTACAAAAGTTACATATCACAAGAGAGTTCTTTTTGAACCTCTGACTTATTCCTCTGGAACTATCAATTTTAGAGTACATACCTATAGAGATACACTAATGAGTTCAACCACAATTTTTTGACAATCATCTCCCATTATCGTAACATAAACATGGTTAGTAGTTGGTAAGTGATTTGTCATTAGTATTTGACTTCTGACCTGATGATATGACTCATTTAAATCCATCAAAAACTGGTATAATCTCTTCCTATTCATATGTGTAACAAAGCCTTTGGACTTGTCACAGTTACAACAAAGGGCAGGAACTAAGGCTTCAAATAAAGTTTTGAGCTTAGTACAATACACAAAAAACATAATCAGTACCCTGATGTAAAGAGGCAATATCCTTGTGTAGGCTATAGTGTTCTCGACCTATCCACCATGTCAAATCTCTCCTTTAAATCACTCTAGACATTGAAAACACTCGATTCAAAAGCAATACCACTAAGTGGACTTTTCGACACTGAATTCATCAACCTGGACAACACAATTGCATTTACCCCTTCTCATTGCCCCCACAGTTCTTCACCATACATATCTTCTTTTGCATGATCCTTCAACCAACCCTATCTTGTTCCTTCCGTACAAGGCTAACGTAATGAATTGATTCCATAAGGTGTACTTCTCTATACTAAGCAATTGAAAAGAAATATAATTAATTCCACTAAGACCAGCAAGACTAAGCAAAATAAGATGATTATAGTTAATAACTAGATAGTCCAGAGGTGGCATGAATTAGAGGTGACTGTCAGTCTGGCCATTGTTGAGTGTCTGTTGCAAATGTATAGATTCTCTTTCAATTGTCAAAGCAAATTAATTTTGTGGGGCTTTAACCTAACACTTGTTGCGGAAGTAAAACCAAGCACAATCAAAGACACATTTCAGCTTCAAACGAGCTCGGATATGCAAATCAACTAAAGAATTGGTGAATTGAGATTTTAATTTCGATTCTTTGAATCTTAAAATCAGGCACCTACCACAGTAATCACTATGTATGGCTCTGATACCATAAACGTAAGTAAAAAAACTCAAAAATATCAACTAAGCAACCATTGTAAAAAAGTAGAACATTTCATTGATTGAGATCAAAAGGCTAAAGAATGCATCTTAGAGAAGCTTGTATTTATAACTTCTAATTTTACATTGTGTAACTTACTTTCATTAGCAGAGAAAGTGGAAGAGCTTAAGTTTTGTCCTTTCTCACTCATTTAAGAAATTGGGCTGATCCTTTTTAATGATTATTTGGGCCTATAGACGACAAAAAATAGTGTTAGCATATTCTTCTTTGTATAAATTATAGGAACCACATATTATAAGTACTAAATAACATCCTATCCCTTCTAGTTTTCTATTTACCAAAAATCCCTTAAAAATGATGTTTGCGGGATACATAGCGTTGTGCACGGGATACATAGCGTTTGATACATTCCACACAGTAGGATACATAGCGTTGTGCACGGGATACATAGCGTTGTGCACGGAATACATTAGGTTTGATACATTCCACATAGCGGGATACATAGCGTGGTGCACGGGATACATAGCGTTTGATACATTCCACATAGTAGGATACATAGCGTTGTGCACGGGATACATAGCGTTGTGCACGGGATACATAGCGTTGTGCACGGGATACATAGCGTTTGATACATTCCACATAGTAGGATACATAGCGTTGTGCACGGGATACATAGCGTTGTGCACGGGATACATGCGGGATACATAGGTAAATAAGGGATTTTTGAAATAAATGGATATTAAGGTAAGTAAAAGAGTGTAGTTAAGTAATTTGTTCTTCTTTCTTTGTTTTAGTTAACCCACTTATAAATTCAATATAGGGGAAATTTACTTTAGGACTAAAATTACCATATATACTTGTTTTAATACTTATCTAATAAAATATAAATATCGGATTATTATCAAATATAAATATCAGATTATTATCAAATATAAATATCGGATTACTTATCTCTTCCACTTTCTCTGCTAAATCCCATGGTACCCTCCAAGATTTCTGGATAATCTTCTTGAGACTGAGTAAGTCAGTCTCAATAACTACACTCTGAAGTCTTCTGCTCATACACTCTCTAAAAGCACATAGGATGGCCGTAGTTTCTGCTTCACTGTTAGATGCAATGCCAATGCCTGTTGCTTTAGCATAAATTTGGTCCCCTCTTGTATCTCTTATACAAAAACCAATAGAACTCCAGCCAGGGTTACCTTTACATGCTCCATCAGTGTTACATTTTACTTGGTATTTTTCAGGAGGTTTCCACGTGACACTTAAAACATGTATCTTTGGCTTGTATTGATTGAGTTTGTGTAGCACCTCTTGCCATGTCCATCTCATCTTTCTGATCCATGGAAACTGAGTCTTCACTACCTGCCTTACCAATTCCATTGTCATGTCCACCATCCCATCCCAACTGATGCCACCACCATGTTTGATAGCATTCCTCCTCTCCCACAAGCTCCACATGATAATTGCTGGCATAACTCTGTATATGCTGTGCAATTTTGGGAAAGACTCATTTTTCCATCAAGTGATTATGAGGTGTTGTAAATGCATTCCATCTAAGTTGATTCCTGTAAAATGAGCAAAATACCCCCATAGCTTGTTAGCTATGGGGGCTGTTAGAAATAGATGGGACATTGTTTCCTCCTCTTTCCTGTCACAGCACCAACATCTAGACACTATGCTGATTTTCATCTTCTTTAAATTATCATCAGTGGCAATCTTTCTTTTCCACCATAGGAAGAAGTTAAGTTTAAGTGGCAGCCCCTTATGCCAAATTAGTGTTGGCTATTATTATCACGCTAGAAACTTTCTTTATTTTTTTATCTCAATTTAATATTACTTTCTTAATCATATTAATCTTTATCCGCATTCACTGAGTAAGGAGAAATATGAAAATCAATTATCATTACTTATGTCTTGTTCTTGGTAATAATTATTTTGGATTAATTATTTTTAGTAATACGCTTTAAAAGAGTGCTAATCATGATGTTCCAAATGAAAACTCTTAAGAAACTAAGGGTGTATTTTGGCATGAATGTCTTTTTTTTTTTTTTTCATGTTTGATTAATCAAAATATTTTTCAAAAAATATTTTTTTTAAAATCTTAAGAATATCTTATTTGACAAGGATAGAGCACAAATTTTATATCTATCATTGCATGTTGAATGTCTCATCCCAACCATACAACATCGGACGACCTATCAAATTCCCTTCCTTACTCCCACCTACCATCCTCGTCCCATCCCATGACTCGACCCCTCCCACAAACCTCACATACATCCCCACCACCCCACCACACACATACCAAACACATTGTAAAGCAATGGTGACTCTAGAATTTTAAAATATGAATGCATTATTAATATACACACACGCTTGTCAACAAATCATATTATGATTAATTTTTAAAAGTATACTAAATAAAAATAAAAGCCTAATTTTATAGATAGATTATAAATTCATGTACTCCAATTTTGCCTATAAATTCGATTTTGTACTAAATTAAACTCAAGTCCATTTTCACCGGGTCCTCTATCTAATATGCAGTGTATGAAAAATTACATTGTAGTTTTTTTAACAAAAAGATTTTTTTTTGGAAGAAACAACCTTTCTATTTCTAAGAAAAAATGGTAAAACAACCTACTTGCAATCTATGCTCTAAGACTCAATTTTATAGTATGATTTTATTAGATATATTAATGCTAAATCGTAAAAAGTTTGCCATCTGTTATTATCCACGTTTAGTCATTTTCTCACGCTCTCCAATGTAATAATATTTGTTTTTCTTTTGTCCCTTTCAAGGTCCTAACAATTAAACTCATGGACCATATATTTGAGTTCATACATGGAAACATGTGTTTCACGAACTGGATAAGTTCAAAATTTTAAATTTACAACGTAACAACACCCAATAATCGTGTATATGATTCTTTTTTTTTGTTAGAGAGTACTTCTTGTTGAACGAAATTTTAAGCGGTGTGAATACAATTTAATCGAGGCTTCCATAAAAATATCGATCACCTAAGAAAAAACAAACCAACAATTAAATGGAAGTACGACCTAAACCTAACGTGTACCTCAAATTTTATAGAAAATGATCCTCAAGCTACTGCATGTGAAATGAACGTGAAACAGAGTTGTATCGTTACATTCAAATAATTAATAATTATAATATATACCGGATAGTACTAGCAGTGGCGAAGACACATACACTTGACTCTTGAGGGGTGTCGATCACACCCTTTCGTCAGAAAATCACACTGTGTAGTCAAATAAAAATATTTTTTTTGATGTGTATATATATTATATTGACACTCCCTGGCTTCCATCCATTTTTTTTTATATATATTTTGACACCCTTTACTTGAAATTTTGTCTCCGCCACAAGATAGTAGAGTACAAGAATCAGTACAAATAAAATATAAAAAATCTCATTTAATTTCTCATTGGAAATTTTGTGTGTATTTTTTATTTTAAAAAAAAGAGAACATACATTTGGTTTTTGTTTCAAAATTTTAGTACGTTTGGATTATATTGTGAGAACATAATTATTTATTCTGCGAAAAATACGTTAGCTTGACTTTTTGAACAAAAATAGTTTTTATTATAAAAAAATGTAATGACCCGGAAAGTCATTTTTAGAATTTTTTACAAAATTATTGTTTTATCCATCTCAATAGTTGCCCTGAGTCACTTTTGATCAGTTTGTGAAATTGGTTGAGAATTTTGAACTATTTGTTTAACAACGATTATTTAGTTGATGGATATTTGTTAAATAATTAATTTATTTAGTTGGGGGTTAATGGACCAAATCCATAATTTACTTGGTACCCTTTATCACTTGACCCGTGTATATAAATAAAATTAGAGAGATTTAACCTTTTTAATTATTTTAGAAAAGAAAAATAAAGAGAATAGGGAGAAACCCTAAGCGGCGTAAATGAGCAGCGAGTGCTCTTCCTTCACGTAAGTATTTTGGCTGAGCTTTTATGATTGTTGTTTTATACATAATTTCTACTGAAAGAGTTTACACTAAATTGTCCCATTTGTTCACTAATATTTCCCACTAATAATCACATGCATGTGGCATCAGTGCGACAATCTTCTTAATGGTGGAAGGAAAAAGAGTGAACACTTAATTGTGTATGCTATTAGAATTGGGTCTTAAGGGGACAAAATGTGAGTGGCAAGTTATTACATATTGATACCAATTGATGAACGAATATAGATTTGATATTTTTATTGGCTTATGTCGTATTTTAATGATTATTATTGCAATGTTGGTTGTGAAAGAAAGTAAGAAAATTGAATAGGAAAAGTTTAAACAAAGTCAGTGGCGTATGTATTGAAGTTGGGGTAGGAATATGGTTGATTTCTAATGCCTAATCATTATCCAATGAGACCTAATCATTGGACAATGATGGCCTAATCATTGGAGGTGATTGTGGAGCTAATAGTTTAGTGAATTAATGTTTATAGTTGAACATTAGAAATATGTTAATCTGCAAATTGTTTTTGAGGCACATCACTAATATTTGACATTAGTTCATATCTAGTTATCACATTATGATTCAAGTGTTGATATATTAAGATGTGAATTGAATATTGGGTATATTATATTATATGAAAACTCTCAGGGTTGTAGTGTTTGGAGAAATTATGACTTAACTAGACTTGAAATTTAGGAATATGAGATTTGACCTATAGGTTGGAATCAAGATTTAGGAACTTGATTATAAATTGAGTGAGTTTTTGGATCTAGGCTAAACATATAGTAAAATGGGTGTTGCTAGTTTCAAAATCTTATTGTGATTAGGTACTTGATTAGATTTACATTGATTTGGAAGCTCAGCGAAAGGGAAAGGCTCAAGTCCCGGAGTGATTGTTCGATTACTTGAGGCAAATGGATTTCTAAACCCTTATTAAGTGTATGGAATTCGTGTATTTCCTTGTGATATGTGTTTGGGGGTAATGAGACTTGGTGATGGGTTGACTTGTACATATTGATTATTTTCTAATGATGAAAAATGGGTAATAAAAGGCAATTTGTTTAATTGTTGATGTGTGATGTTTGAGATTGGGTTGAAAGGGTTGTTGAATCATTGTTGATGTTGTATCACGGTTGTATTGTTGTGAATTGTGTATTATTATAAAAATAGTCATCTCATCATTATTTGTGTGAACATGTCATTTGCATTGGTTCTGAGACATGGTTGTGATAAATGTTATGTGATAAGAAGATGTACCATTTCGAGGGACGTATCGCGCGCCGCGATGGATACTATATATCGAGGGACGTATCGCGGGCTGCGATGGATGCATGGACAGTTATATCCCCCATGGGTCCCGGACTAAGAGACAACGGGTGTGTATCACTAGGTCAGACATGCATCACTATACTTGATATTGCATTGCACATATTTATCATTGGTGAACTTGATATTGTGTTTTGCTGATCTTGTAAGTGCCTTTCTGTGGAATTTTAATTAATGAATATTGAGATTGTTGTTGAGGATATGTAATTGTTAAAGTGCTGTTGTTGAGTTGTGTGCTATGTGAATTATGAGTCGTTAGGTTGGGCTGATTTTATGCAGGAAGTTCAGTTGAGGTGTAAGGAGTACCCGTGTTCTATCCCCTTAGCTTGTGTTTAGAGGTTTACTTGCTGAGTACTGTGTGGTTTGATACTCACCCCTTGCTTCTACAATTTTTTCTAGTTTACTAGCCAGACCTTTGTGATATATTCTCTTCTTTTCCTAGGCTTCTTAGAGATTTGTGAGGTAGTTGCTTGTCAACTCAGCAGACCTTCTTACTCATGTTTATGATCTTGTTCTACTCTAGAAACAATGTCATATGAGACTTGTATTTTTCTTTTAATTCAATTGTAATACTTTAAAGGTTTGTACACGTGACAACCAGATTTTGGGGGTATTTTTGAGTTTATTATAAAATTTTCTACTTTTTATTGTAATGGTTGAGTTTTAGGTTGACTTGTCTTGGTGGGTTAAGACGAGTGCCATTACTTTCATTTTTTGGTCGTGACAAAATTGTATTAGAGCCCTAGGTTCATAGGTCTCACGTGTGTACAAGTCGAGTTTAAGTAGAATCTTGAGGATTGGTACGGAGACGTCTGTACTTATCTTCGAGAGGCTATAGTGACTTTTAGGAAAAATCTTCATTCTTGGATCTCTATCGTGCATGCTTGGTTCGATTTTGATTCTTATCACTTCACTTCATTCACTTTCACTTATAGTGATGACTCGTGCGTAGTTCTTCATTTGAGTAGTTGGTGTGTCGTGTATGGCTTGGATGTTAGCTATGCTATCAAGGTTGAAGTGATATACTTATGGAGATGATGTGTGACCAGATTTAGAATGTTCAGTGATTTGAAGAAATTGTGTGTGGTTATGGTTTAATGATGCACCTTTTGAGGATAAATAAACGATTAGGTTGAACAATGGTTTAAGGGACTTCATGAG